GGAGTCTGTGCTCCGTGGGAGTTCTGAGACCTGCCCTTGTCCAAACTATGAAAAAAAAAATGGGACTCCCTCCCCCTCAAGTCTCACAGTAAAAAGTTACCAAATGTCCTTGTCAGTCAGCAACATTGATTAAGTAGGAAACTCCTCAGCTTGGCCCTCAAGGGCCTCCAGAATTGGACTGCACCCTACCTAGTCAACCTAATTTCCCTTCACAAGTCCTGGCCTCTAGAACTACAATGGTGCTGGTGTTCCTGGTCTCCAGAATATAGGACTCACTTTGGCTTCCAGGCTTTTGCCCATGCTATTTCCTCCACTTGAAATGCCTTCCAATTTCCCCCTCCCCCATTCTCAATCCTATTAGAGCTCAGCTAAAGTCTCACCCCCTCCACAAAACTACCTGGACTACTTTGGCCCTTCCTGATCTCACCCATCGAGAACCAGTGGTGCTCAAACTCATAGTACTGTATTCTTTGCTGCAAGGCATCAACATATTGAACATTTGGGTTGGCAACACTATGGAAGAGCTGAGACACTCACACGTGTGCAATTTCTCTTCCATAAGGAGCAGACTTTTTTTTTTAGTTGTTTGCAAGTTCAAGGTCTGAAATATTTTGAGCCTCGTGTGTACATGTAATAGTCAAGTTCTGTTTATGTTTTTAAATGCTAAGCTTACAATACTATGAGTGGTGTATGAGTAGAATTTGTATTAAATAAAATTATTTACAAATCTTATTTTCTTTGCAATAACAACATCCAGCATTTTGAGGCACACCTATTGAAACTGGTGTTACACATAGCTTGACAGCTACTAGTGAGGTGGGGTCTGGAACCTCCCTCAACCCCTTCCATACCAAGGCTAATTCTTCTTGTAATTCAAAGTGTGTAACACAGAATCCACACGGTGCAATGGAAAGAGCTCACTAGATTGAGAGATGGGGAAGATTAGGAGGTAAGAGGAGGGAGGAGGAAGCATGGGGAGGCTGAGGTGGGGGGGATGGGAGTGTGGTGTTGGAGTTAGGTGGAGATTAGCTCTACTGAGCCCCATACTACCTTCAGATCTCAAGGAACCTCCCAATCCTTAAGCTTCTATCACTAAATTTGTTTAAGTCACAATTACTTAAACTCTCTAAACCTTGGTTCTGGCATCTGTTGGACTAGATGGCCTGGATTGGGGTGGGGTGGGGTCAGTTAAGAGGTGGGAGGGAGGGTCACTTTTAGCTCTGACTCCATAGTACTATGACTCATTAAGGGGCAGGTAGGTGGTACAGTGGACAGAGTGCCCAGCCTGGAGTCAGAAAGACTCATCTTCCTGAGTTCAAACCTGATTTCTAGCTGTGTGACCCTGGGCAAGTCATTTAGCCCTGTTTGCCTCTGTTTCCTCATCTGTAAAACAAGCTGGAGAAGGAAATGGCAAACCATTCCAGTATCTTTGCCAAGAAAACCCCCAAAGGGGTCATAAATAGTCAGACACGACTGAAACAACTCAACTTCAACAACAGCAAAGTGATCCATTATGCTGAAGTTCTGTGTTTTGTGACTGTTGCCCTCTTGGGATATGCCTGATAAATAAAGGCAGTGCATTGTAGTGGAAACTGAGGAGTCACAGTTCTGGTTTCACATCCAACTTCAGCTCTTGGTAATTGAGTAACCATGGGCATCTCTTTCACCATTGGAAGATCAAAGGAGATAATGCCCATAAATTGGTTTGGGAACCTTTAAGTGCTATTGGAGAATCAGTTATTACATTGTACAGAGTCTTTGGTTCATCAGTAAAGTCTAGAAGAATGAAAATCAGATTCGGAGTCAAAAGACCTGAGTTAGAATCTTTGTTCTACTACTTACACTGTTCTTAATGTCCTTTGAATTGCTGTGTAACTTTAAGCCTTTCATCAATCAACAAGTATTTATTAAACACTACCCTATGCCAGGTACTGAGCTAAGCACTGGAGATACCAAGAAAGACAACAAACTCTGTCCCTGCCCTCAGAGAACTTATATTCTAATGAGAGAGAAAACAAGATTGATTAAGCCAGGTGACCTGGATTTAAATCCCTAACTCTGGGGTTTACTTTCTTGGGCAAGTCACTGGGTGGAAGAAGGGGTAAGCATTTATTAAGCATTTACTATGTGCCAGGCACTATGGTACTAACTTTATAAATATTTCATTTGATCCTCACAACAATCCCGGGAGGTAGGACTATTATTATCCCCATTTTACAGTTGAGGAAACTAAAGCTGAGGGAGATTAAGTGAGTTGCTTAGGATCAAACAGCTAGTAAGTGTCTAAGGCTAGATTTGAACTCAGAACTTTTTGACTCCAAGCCCAGTGCTCTATCTACTATGCCACCTGCTACCAGGGGGCTAGACCAGATGGCCAGATGTTCTCTGCAGCTCTAGATCTGTAATGCTGTGACCTATATTCAAATGCCAGTTTGGCTGCTTACTACTTGTATGACCTTGGGCAAGTCACCTCATCTCTCCAGGTCTGTTTTCTCATCTAGTAAAACTGGGATACTAGACTGTTCTTGTTTAGTCATTTTTCAGTTGTGTTCGACTCTTTGTGACACCATTTGGGGTTCTCTTGGCAAAGATACTGGAGCAGTTTGCCATTTCATTCTCCAGATCATTTTACAGATGAGGAAACTAAGGCGACCAGGGTGAAATGACTTGCCCAGAGTCACACAGCTAGTAAATACCTGAGGCCAGATTTGAACTCAAGAAGATGAGTCTCCCTGGCTTCAGGCCCAGCCCTCTATGCACTGTGCCACCCTAGCTGCTCAGGATGCTGGGCTAGATGATTTCTAATATTTCTAGAATATTGTTGTTGCATTTAGAGATGAAACTGAAACTCAGTCGAATTAACTTGACCAAGGTCACACAGCCGGTAAGGAGTCATTGTGTCTAGCTGTCTCAATGCTCCTTCCATCTTCTGTACCAGCTTTATCCCCAGAAGTTAGCCTAAGTTTTATTGGATTGAATGGAAGCATTCCTTCTGCATAAATCACTCTATTAGAAGAAAACACAGTAGAAAAGATACTATCCATCCCTGCCCTGGAGGAATTCTGATACCCATGTCACCATACTGACTTGGATTGAGATGGGGGGGCGCTATTGTGAAGGACGAAGAAGAGCCTGGGGTGGGAAGGGCGCCATGGGCAGCTCTGGCATCGCCTTGCTCCCTGTATCTTGAAACAATGTATATCTAAAAAAGAGGGGGAAGAGGGAATGGACAGAGCGGGGGAGATGTTACGAATGTTAAACTCTGCAAAAGTTAATTAAAGTGCTCCATAACCATCAGCTAACATTGCTGGAGAGGGAGGAAAAGGATCCCTTTTTTCGACTTCCTCAGAAGATCCAGCAAATGCTTGCAATGGGAAAAAGCAAGAGTCAGCATTTTGCCCATGGGCCCCTCCCAGGGCCTGGCGCTTTAAACTCTGCTGCTCCAGGGCCTCTAGGATTGGCCATCTTTCCCCACCCCCCACCTCCTCCACTCCCCCTACCTCAGAGAGGTCAGAGCACAAAGCTGCCAAAAAAAAAAAAAGATACCACACATCCAAAGTGTGTAGCAAAAGGAGCCACCCCTCCTCCATTCTGCCCTTATTTGAGGGATAAAGGGCTGCCCCCCAAACCAGATCCTAAAATCTGCTCGCATTGGCTGACGACACTGCAGCTCAACGGACTAGAGATAAAGTTGGAACTGCTTTGGGTGAACGTGAGCAATTTTGTGCCTCACTCTCCACCTCTCCCACCCCTCACCACCATACTTTTCCTCCCCCACCTCCACCAAACAACCCCTCCAGTATGGCACAGTCTGGGGTAAATTCATGTCCCAGCTGCCTGGGACACACACAAGGCAAGGACAGCTCCCAGCTGCCAAGTGGTGATGTCTGCATGTCAAGTCCACTCCCTAGTTAAACTCAAATTCTGGGCCACCCCCTCATTCTGAGAAGTAATATCTAAGCCTCTCGCCATTCTGACTGGTGAAAGACTTGTTTTTCTCCCATTGACAACTTGGGAGTTACCAGTGGGCATAGCATTGCATTTTCCCCTTCGAATACCAAATGCTAACTTTTGGAATTTTCTTAGGGTAGGGCCCCTAATCCTTACCCTATACATTGTTGTCTCCAGCAAGATCAGTGCTGTCCTGAGCTAGTTCAAGATATTTTCAGACCGGGAGGACAAATACCTTTTGCCAACCCCTCCATCTGACTTTGATTCTTGGTGGTCCAAAACAACCCTGATGGCCTATCCACTCCAGAAATGGTAATGCCACATTCTACACTCTGCCCTTCAAAGACAAATGAGGAAAAAAGAAGCAACAAACACACCAAAGATGTGAGGAAAGAGAAGAAATCCTTCCTCCTGCGGCAAAGCTTGGGCCAACAAGTTCCACTGGGGACGTTTCTGGCTTTCTTTGATCTTTTACAACTGGAAGAATTTTCGAAGACAGACCACTGGAACTTAAAGGGAAGCTGTCTTTGGTGGTGGTCTTTAAGACCGATTAGACAGGAGGCTGGGAGAATTTTCTCAAGGAGTTCTCCAAACTTTTCCTAGTCTGGTACAGACCCCTTCCTTCCCCTCCCCCTACTTCCACCAGTCGACCCACCACATCTGGTTTCACTCAAATCTCCACTGCATCCTCACTCTCCTCCTCTCTCTCTCTCTCTCTCTCTCTCTCTCTCTCTCTCTCTCTCTCTCTCTCTCTCTCTCTCTCTCTCTCTCTCTCTCTCTCCCTCCCTCCTCCAATCTCCTTCCCTTCTTCCCTTTCTCTCCTTCCCTCCCTCGCTTATCCCCTTTCTTACCTCCTCCTCCAGAAATGGAGAGACAGTTTTGTTTCAACACCTCCCTCCTCACCCACTAACGCACGCACCTCTGCTAAAGAATGAGAGGGCATAAGAAAAAAGGAACCTCTTCTTCCTCCCCTTAGCGTCCCTTCTCCTTCTCCAACTCCTCTCCCCGCTCCCGGAGGAGCAGTCCCCCCGATGCTGGCAGAGCCTTACCGGTGGGGGCGACGGTGGGGACAGCCGGGGGGGCGACTGTGGCTGCCCCCGCGGGGCTGATCCAGGAGCCCGAGGGGCTGAACACCACACTCCCGAGAAACAGGGCACAGCGCAGCAGGTGACGCCAGGGAGCAGGAGCCAGCCAGGGGAGCCACATTCCGGGGGCTGACTCCGCCGGGGTTCCGGGCACTGGGACAAGAAAGGGATGGATGGATGGACTGAGGGCTAGGAGCTGGAGAAGCGTGAACTGAGGGCCCCGGAGCTGGGTTGGAGATGCTTTGCGTCCTTCCCCGGGCCAGGACGGAGTGATGCCTCCCAGGGAAGGGAAGGAGAAGGGAGGGGAGGGGATTGAAAGGGAAGGGAGGAGAATTGAAGGGAGAGGAGGGATAGGGAGGCTGGGAGGGGTTGGAGGAGGAGGGGAGGAACCAGGGAGGAGGGTTTGAGGGGCAGCGAAGAAACGAAGGGGAAGTGTGGGAGGGGGGAGCAAAGAAAAGATAGAGATCGAGAAAGTGGGAGAGAGGAGAATAGGAGAATGTAACCGATGGAGAGAGGGAGAGAGTGGAGGGAAAGAAGGAGCGAGATGGAGGGAGTGGGCCAGGGAAAGAAGAGGGGGCGAGGGAGAAGTGTGAGTGATGGTGAAAAGTAGAAAGAGAGACGAGAGCAATGGGGGTGTTTGCGTGTTAGGAACTGGAGAGCAGGGAAGGGGTGTGTAGAGGGGTGACAATGAGCTCTCTCTGCCTCTGTCTTCTTTCTCCCGCCTTCCCCCCCACCTCTCCACCTCTCCCTTTCTCTCTCTCTTCTCTCTCTCTCTCTCTCTCTCTCTCTCTCTCTCTCTCTCTCTCTCTCTCTCTCTCTCTCTCTCTCTCTCTCTCCTGCCCCCCTTCCTTCGCAGTCCGGGCCTGGAGCCCCAGACACTGCGTCACGGACGGCTGGGCTGGCGCTGGCGGGGAAAACGGCTGCAAAACTTTCTGCACACTTCACCGGGTGATGGTGACGGGGCAGTGAGGCCCACACGGCAGGGGAACTGGGACTGACGCGACCCCATCTAGCGCAGTCTAAAGGCACGACTTCCCGGGAACCGCTAGTGCTGTGTCCAGAACCACCTCTGCTCACTCCTCCATTCCCACGTGGACAGCCAGCCTTCTTCCTACCTCCTCGTGAACCTTCTCCCCAAGTCTCTTTCTCCAAGAGGGACTTCATTCACTCTTCCACCCCGCCCACCGCCCCATCTCTTGGAATGCGGAAAAGGCGAGGGGGTATTGAGGGTTCTCTCCCAGTGATCTGACCAAGGTGTTGGGCTTGCTGTGGAGTCGTTTTTCAGTCATGTCCCCACTCATCTGGTTCCCTTTGGGGGTTTTCTTGGCAACGATACTGGAGTGGTTTGCCATTCCTTCTCTAACTTGTTTTACAGATAAGGAAACTGAAACAGGGTTAAGTGACTTGTCCTGGGTCACACAGCTAGTGTTTGAATCTACATTCGAACTCAGGTAGATGAGTCTTCCTGACTCCAGGCCTGCTACTGTGCTGCATAGCTGCCTCTGCCGTGTTGGGCATGAAGGCAGACAAAGAGGTGACCCCAAACCGGGCTTTTTTCCTCCTCCTTTTCAATTGGCCATTTGTGTCTTTATTTGATATTTGTGTAACTCTTATTATACAAACAAACGGAACAAATGTATTCCCCTTTCCTTCAGCGGTGCTGATTTCTATTGACTCTCCCTCCTAACCAGAAACCTGGAAAAGTCTCCAGTGGACACCTTTAGGCTGATACCAATGCCTCCTTGCAAGCAGCTGACTCCAGAGAATGATAAAGCCTGTGGTCCATGGCCTCCCCTATGGGTGTTCACTGCAGAGTGCTTGCTGTACTCTTAGAACCTCCTTCCATATTCATGCCCTGGTGCTTCCCAGGTCAGATGAATATACTCTGGTCACAAATATGGGTAATATTTACAAGAGCACTTGGAAAGTATTATTAGAAGAGAAGCAAGAAGAGAAGAGAAGCTCCAACTCATGCAAAAACCAGACAGTGGACACAGTGTATGCAGCACCTCTTCCAACTCACAGGGCATGACCCCCAGACGATGGCTAGCCCCAATTTAGGGTAATTTGGTTGTCTATATCCCCCCAAAAACCATAGCTCACAAGATCCTACCAATATGTTTACTTGTAATGATCAGCAAGAAAACATGATTAAGTTAAGGTAAAATAAGCTTTTAACGAAATGACAAAGTAAGAAAAGAAGTAACAAAACATTCCCCTCATAAAATTGGAGGAACACATGCCACAAATACACATGTCAAGAGGAAAAGTGGTTACATGTGGAGGGACTCAAAATGTAAGGAACATGTAGCCGGGGCATACATGTAGAGGGGTAGGGCAGCTAGGTGGTACAGTGGACAGAATGTTGGCCCTGGAGTCAGGAAGACCTGACTTCAAATTCAGACACTTCCTAGCTGTGTGACCCTTTGCAAGTCACTTCACCCTGTTTGCCTTGGTTTCCTCTGTAAAATGAGCTGGAGAAGGAAATGACAAACCACTCCAGTATCTCTGCCAAGAAAACCCCAAACAGGTCATAAAGAGTCAGATATAATAGAGGGGCAACCCCTATCCGGGGTGCTTCACTGATGGGTCTCTGATGTCTTCCAGTGATGTCATGGCACAAATCTTGCTGGGCCTTTTCCCTGCTGGTTTCATAGTCTCTGATGGTTACTGTGCCACTGTAGTCTCTGCCAGATGCTACTCCACAGGAGACTGTTGTGTTGGAAGCTGTTCTACCATCTCTAGCTTCTGACTCAGCCAAAACCTTTGGCTAGCTTTTCCTCAAGGGAAGAATGGGTAATGGCTTGTTCTTTTAACTTAAAGTCCACAGGCTTTTTTTTTTGTTACTGCTCTTTTAGGAAAAAGCCAGATTATTTTGTGCTCTTTGTTTGTTTGTTTTTAGGCAATCAGGGTTAAGTGACTTGCCCAGGGTGACACAGCTAGTAAGTGTCAAGTGTTCGTCTGAGGTCACATTTGAACTCAGGTCCTCCTGACTTCAGGGCCGGTGCTCTACACACCACCTAGCTGCCCCTTTGTGCTCTTTGTTACAGGAGATGGTTCACTGGATAGGAAAAACAAGGATATGAATATGATGGGGGGAGGGGTCAGGGAGAAAGATAAGTTATTTTTAAAATCAAGAGTCAGAAGCCCTTGCCTGGGGCCAGCAAAATCCTTTTCCTCAGGTTCTCCTATCTTGTTCCTCAGTATTTGGGCTATGAACTCTTTCATCTAATGATTGAATGATAGATTAAAAGCTTAATGAGAGATTAGATACCATATAGCTCAACTCTTTCCTTTTATAGGTAAGTTAAGTGAGACCCTGAGAGATCATGTGACTTGCTTAAGGTCACACAGGTAGTGACAGAGATGGTGCAGTGGATAGAGCACGGGGCTTGGAGTTAGGAAGACTCATCTTCATGAGTTCAAAACTGGCCTCAAACACTAGCTGTATGACCCTGGGCAAGTCTCTTAACCTCCTTTGCCTCAGTTTCCTCATCTGCAAAATGAGCTGGAGAAGGAAATGGCAAACCATTCCAGTATCTTTGCCAAGAAAACCCCAAATGGGGTTACAAAGAGTCAGATACAACTGAAAAAAAAAATCAACAACAACAATCTCTGAGTTTAGAGCCATGGTTCTTTCCACCAAGAAGAGAATCTCCAGTGTGACCCTGGGCAAGTCACTTAACCCCAACTGCCTCACCAAAAAAAAAAAAAGCAAGTAAGACAATCTCTAGCAGGAGGTTCTTGTTCAATACAACAAAGAGCAGGGTCTTCCCAGTTAGCTTATGTTCTCGGGCTTACTTTTTTCTTTGAAGTCAACTTCCTAGTCACTGAAATTACCTCACTATAGCTCATGGTGAACAACTTTTTATATGCCTCCCAATTTTAATCTCTGAAAGCTAGAAGGCAAGCCAAATAATAGTTATTTCCCTACAATTACCAAATAGCTCTGGAGTTTGGGTTCCTGGTGATCAGTCCCTGACCTCCTGAGACTTACATTTTATTGTGGGAATGCAGCATATAAATAGATAAGTAAATACAAAGAAATTTGAGGAGAAACAGTACACTAATGATTTCACAGATCATGGAAAGGCTTTACAGAGGAATGGAGTTTGAGAAAGATAAGGATTCTGAGAGTCAAAAGTGAGCTGGAAATGCATTTTAGGTATGAACAAAGACCCAGGAAATGGAAGTTCTCATTTGGAAAGCAACTAATGGTCCAGTTTGACTGGAATGTAGAGTACTTGAAAGAGAGTGATATGAAATAAAGCTAGAAATGCAGGTTGGAGGCAGATTGTGGCTTCAATCAATCTGTGTTTATATTTTATCCTTGTGGTAATATCCACTTCAGGTTTTTGAGTAAAAGTGTGATGTTCTTTAGGAATGTGGTTTTGTGTGGATATGTGATTAGGATGTGTGGATGAGGGATTAGAGAGGAGAGAAACTGGGAGCAAGAAGACCAATTAGGAGGATATTGCAGTAATCTAGGTAAGAGATGAACAGGAGCTTGAACTGGAATGATGTCCATATGAATAGAGAAGGGATGGGCACAAGAGATGCTATACAAGGAGAAGTGATAAAAATTAGTCATGAGTCTAATATAGAGGAAGAGGGAAGAGGAATGTATTACTCCAAGGTTATAAAATTAGGTGACTGAGAAGATGATAGTGCCTTCCACAGCAAAAAGGAAATTGAGTTTAGGGAGAAAAATCCCAAGTTCTTTTTTGGACATGCTGTGTGTAATAATGATGGGCCATCCAGGTAGAGATGTCCAGCATGCAGCTGGTGATGCAGAACTAAAATTCAGGACTAGATGTATGGATTTGGAAATCATCTATATAGAGATGATCATTGAACCTTATGTACATTCATAAAGTCGCTAAGGGAGAGAGAAAAGAGAAACAAGTCCAGGACAGAGCCTTGTGACATTCTAAGGGGAAGGCAATAACAAAAGAAAGTGAAGTCAGACAAGTAGAAGGAGAATCAGGAGTGAATTGGGTCAGAGAAGCCAGTAAAGAAGATTGTTGGGGGTGGGAGGAGATGGGGAGGTTGTCAACAATGTCAAAAGCTGTAAAGAATCAAGGAAAATAAAGACTGAGAAATAGTCATTGGATTTAGCAGTTAAAGGATAACTTCTGAGTAACTGAAGGCAGCTAGGTGGCACAATAGATAAAGCACTGAATTAGAGTCAAGAAGACCTGAGTTCAAATCCAACTTCATACACTTGTGTTACACAAGTTGTAAGACCGTGGGCAAGTTACTTAAATTCCCTCAGCCTCAGTTTCCTCATCTGTAAAATGAGGGCAACAATTGACTCTCCCAGGGTTGTTATGAGGATAAAGTGAGATTATATCTGTAAAGTATATTATAAATCTTAAAGCTACACAAATGCTAGCTATCATTAACTTATGAGAGCACAGTTTCAGCAGAAGTGAAGGGACTGGAAGCCATTTTGTAGAAGTGGAATAGCAGATAGGTGGCAAGGAAGTGGAGGCAAAAAAAAGTGCACAATT